GTTATGCACTGGGCCTAAACCACGACACTTTGTCAAGGCACTGTTTCTACTTTCTGTCTATGAAGAGGAGAAGATGAGATGACAGTGAAGTGCATTGAGATCTAATGCAAAACTGTACAGGAGCATGGTCTTACTGCACTGTTACCTGTTTTAAGTCTGGACAGCCAGCTACTATACAGCGTTTTATAGAGTGCTGCAGTTAGAAGAAATTGCTAATGAAGAGAATATGCTTGATTTACTTACCCATGTTTTAGGTTGCTTTCAACCTGCTTTCTACCTGGGAAGTTCCCTTTAAATTTCTTTCTAAGATTCTCAACATATGCCCAATGCTTTTTTTGTTTCTCTTCTTTCTTTGGCTTTCCCTCTTTTTCTCACACTAGCGATGAAGTGCGAAAGTCTTTGTGTTCATCAGTACACACCCTTTCTCTATGCATTTGATCTTTCATATGAGTGTGTACCCACTTAACCCAGCTTCTCAACAGCCTTACAGCCGGCTTCTGTCTTAGGCAGTGGTTCTTGTTATTTCATTTATTCTTCTGCAAAATTCATCCAACCGCTGCTCCAGTTTTACCAAAAAAATTAACACCTAATTCCATGGAGTCTCACTCTGTACACAGTTATTACTGACACTTCAGATTCGCCAACATGGCACATGCACAGTTTGCCCGTGGAAATAAATTTCATTTCCTTTTAATGTTAGAAAACATAACTAAAACTGAACCTCTGCTACAGTTTGGAAGACTTCCTCCATCCATGAGGAGCGGTTAGGAGAGACATTACCAGTGTCTTTGGATTATCCGTCTAGATAAAACTACTGGAGGAGGAGGACGCAATGTAATTCTGAGCATTAAGCAAAAAGCCTAGATTGACGAGTGAGAGATCTATTTAATTTTGAGGATATACATTACTGCTGATGCCAGAAATGAGTTGAAGTCAATGTTCTGCTCAACCAGACTCTGCAGAACTGTAGCTGAAGTTTAGTCCAAATTGGTACAGTCTGTGTAATGTGAACCACCGAGCTGGCTCTGAGACTCAATCGTTCTGGTCAGGAGACTTAAATCCATGGGGCTGTGGCAGAGTGAGAGTAAGGTTTAAGATCTTTAACAAGCTCTAGAGCCCTTTCAGATCATTCATTGTTTCAGTACAGGGGTTGGGTTTTTTTGTTTGTTTGTTTGTTTTTATATCAGATTCGTGCCAGATTTTTTTCCTTTTTTTCTCAAGCTAGAACTGGGCCCTTGAACACTGAACATAAACTTATATACTGTTGCCATTATATATTAATTGTGTTTTACCAGCCATTCTCACAATATATTTACATTTCAGCAACAATTCAGAAACGCTTGAAGAAAGAAAAGAAGGCAAAGAGAAAATTGCAGGAAGCTTTGGAATTTGAATCAAAGAGAAGAGAACAAGTGGAACAGGCGCTTAAGCAGGCCACATCAGGTGACGGTCTCAGGATGTTGAATGGTAATGTCTTAGTTGGCCTTTCACAGTTAGCTTAAAGTGATGTTTAACTGAGTGAAAAAAAGTAAGATGATGAACAAAGCAAATTCGAGAATTAAAAAAAACACCCACAATCCTTTCCTGAAATAATTAAAAATCTCTTTCAGGCCATGTGCTCTGGGTAATGAATTAAAAAAATAAGTAAGTCTGCAACTAGAGAAACAGACAGAGTGGTTTACACAGACATGACAAGAGATGCTGAATATATTACCAGAGAAATCTGTTACAGTGCCAGCTAAGACAATGTGAAATTTGGTTCCTATAAGGTTCTCTGAACTCTTCTCTCCCAGCAGATTCATTTTTAGAACTGCTGAGCTTCATTTTAAAAGCTGTTTGGCTGAAGTTTGCTCAGCTTCAGGACCTATTAAGTATGTTAAATATGTATCAGCTTTCAGAGCTGACTAGGTTCTGAGTACTTCCCAAATATTCTTGTGAAACACAAGCAAATCAGTTCATGTCCTAAACAGGGTGATTGTGTTTTGAGTAGTGAGAGGATTTGCCTCTATTGCTTAATGTGCTTCTAACCAAAGTAAGAGCTTTGGTTTGAATCTTTAAGACTGAACCTAGTTGAGTTTTAATTAATTTCAGGTTTTGTAGCTAAGGTTTAGTCTGCATGTCCCTACCTCAAAGTCTCTGCAGAGGCTCATGAATCAGAGTTATATTCTGTCCTGCTGGCAACTGAGCCATAATACCATAAGCAGACTGCAAGAACTGCTGAGTAAAAATGAGTTTGGCTTGTTTTGAGTTCTCAGTTGTGAGGGCTACCCAAACTGTTTTTTAAAGTTAAGGCAAGCCTGTCTACGTGAACAGCCATCGCAACACTCTGCAGTGGACTGTGAGTTGTGATTTATCTAGAACACCTAAGAGATATAAACTCTTTAAGTACAAGAGCAACATCTTTCAGAGGTATTCTCATCTGCTGGGTTTTATAGTCCAGCATATCACTGTAACCAGGAACTGGCTGGCTTTTCTGATGTACTGACAGTGAACGTTGGTAATTCAGGCGGGGATATACAGCTTGCACTTGCACCGTGATAAGGGGCAGTGACCCAAGGGACCATGGCTTGACACAGCCAGCACAAACCTTTTCCACCACCTCTATGGGATCAGAAGAATGCACTGATCAGATCCCACAGACACAGGCAGCACCTTGAGATGAATGGCAGAAAAACACACTAAAATCCTGATGTTCTGTAAGGTCATTCACCCAGATTCTGCCATTGCTGGTAGGCACCTGCCCCTCGCACTGCAGTTGGTAGTGCTCGGCAGTTCTGGAAGCCACAAATTGAAGGGTACCAACATGCCAGCAGTGTGATTAACAGATCTTTGCATCTGCTATTGTGGGCCTGGCTGCTAACGTTTTGATTTGCAGGCACACTCAGGTAGACATATATATGTTAGTGCCTGCAAGAAGCTGATATTTACATGCTAATCTGATTGCACATGCAAATCAGGTAGCTCATTAGCATCTTAATCCACAATTTAATTGCAGGTACAATTTTATGACAACAAAATGTGAAGGGCTATTCTGAATATTTTTAATTTAACTCTGACGGTCTGTCTCATTTAACAGATGCTCTTATTAGTTACAGATGACTTTTTCATTTTACATATCTAAAACATGTGCTCCAAAAGGTTTGCAAAGAACAGAACCTTTGTAGATTTGTAGATGAGTTCCCTGAACTTTCCTTCAAAACAAGAAGCTGAGTAAGGGCAACCCTACTTAATAACAGTCACTTGTGATTTTATAAAAAAAATTGCATGCATTAAAATATTATTTATTTGCTCATAGATATTTATAGGGCTATATATGCATACATCACATATATTTCATTTGCACAAGTATTACTAATTACTATTACTCGTATGACTTTTCTGTGTATGAACTATACTTTAATGAGTTGCCCTGTTTGCCATAGAGTTCACTCAGGCTGTAGGGTGACCAGCAAAATGTCATCTTTGCAATAGACACTGACACTCCAACTGGAGTGATCTCAGACCCTAACAGTTCAGTTACTTGCTATTTGAGAATGTCCAGAACAAGTTTCTACGCAGAACAACTCCCAAACTGCATACGCAGCTCCCTTTCAGGTGTGGGGGTTTTTTCCTGCTGTAATTTCTGAGTGCTGTATTATAAGAGAAGCAGATGTTTCTCCAGGATTCGAGGTGCCGTGGATTCAGATCACATACCCTTCATGCTAATCCTTGTTGGCACAAGGTGGATAATGGCATCTGTTATCATAACACCCTGGGGTGTTTGAGCCCCACCCCCACCCCAAAGGCCTGTGCATACGAGAGTATTATCAGTATGAAATTAAATAGTTCAAAAGCACGTATCGTTATGAGACTATTTCTCAGCTTGAATAAAGAGCACAGCCCATTTTGGAAAGCTCTTCTCAGAAATCTGGAAATGTTTCACATAATATCACATTGGTAATTTTGTTTTAGGTGATAACACACACTTACAGCATCCTGAGCTGAATTGTTTAAATGCAGTTCGTACAGTCCTCACCTGTAACGTGCGCTCATACAAACTGATATGCACACACACACACGTTGAATGGCATTGGCTGTATGCTTTAATTCTGTACTTTGCAGGAATATAGCTAGGAGAGTCAATGTAATTTCATATTATCACGGTTTAATTTCAACTTTTATTTTTCATATGTCAGATGCCCTCATTCTCCAAGAGAATATTACAGACATATTAGTATAATGTGTTGGTTATTATCTGATCATCAGGCAAATTTGAAGCACATTAAAAATAAAACACTGTGAGACCAGTAATGTTTGCAGAATTCGGAAGTGATTTACTACTGAAAATTCTATGAAGACCAAATGTTATATGCAAGACCGTGTAACTTGGACATCGCCCTAGTTTGCTATACGTATTTTTCTAAAGTTGCATGAGGAGGACAAAGGGGAATGCATTAATCTTCGGTGTCACATCTTTCAGATGCTGGAATCCCAGATATGGAAATAGAACACAATGGAACCCAACACGACAGTGCAGCAATGCAAGGTGCAGTATGTACATCCTGTCACGTGCATGTTTATCACGAGCCATACTGCAAATTATGTGAAATGCAGAATAGTTTTTGTTTCTGTTTTTTTTTCTGCTTTAAGATGAATGTCAGTTGCACAACTTCATTTTGTTTTCCTGTTCAATATAGAAAACCTTTTTAAGAGCAGTACTTTACAAGACCAGAAATTAAATTTGTTTAAACAGAGGTTTAAAAAGTTTAAAAATTATTTTACATGTGATTTATCTTTTTAAATATGTTACCTCCGATCCTTACTCTCCTATCAAGGTCATGGGTGTTTTCAAAAAATACATGAACTGCAGGTGGCAAATGAAAGTCATGTTCTCGTTAGGAGCAATTACACAGTGCTCAGTTTCCTCACTGTTCACCACTGCTGTCTGAGTGCTCCCAGAGTCCTGAATGTGCGTGGCTGTAGGGCAGTGCAGAAAGGGAGTTGTGTCATCGTCACCGAGGAGAGCTGAGATACAGAAGTCTGAGGTGTTTTTTCCATTGCCATTGGAAGCCTTTTTGAGACACGCAGAAAACTCATGATCACCTGGGATAAAATTTGGTCTGAGCAATCTGAGCATAGAAATTCTCTGACTTCGGTGAAAGTCCAGATTTGTAGTGTTGGTTTCCTATAAAACCAACCTTTTTTCTCCCTGCCGTCCTGCGCCGTGTTCATTACACAGCAGTCAGTTCTGTGCTGGTTACGGTAGCAGCCTGGAGACCGCTGCCTGTTTCACTGTGGCTGCTGCTGCTTGGAGCAAAAAATAATGTATGTTGGAGTAACTAAAGATACCGTCCTGCACCGTGTTCATTACACAGCAGTCAGTTCTGCGCTGGTTACGGTAGCAGCCTGGAGACCGCGCTGCCTGTTTCACTGTGGCTGCTGCTGCTTGGAGCAAAAAATAATGTATGTTGGAGTAACTAAAGATAGTCCCTTCTGTGCAGATAGGACTGCTGTACAGTTACAGATACAAACATAACTGCTAGCATTTTTAAGCTGCTAAAGGCTTGACTTAGCATACCTCTGGTGTGCTTCTGTCATCATTCTGTCAGCTATACAGGAAAGCTTTCAAATATTTTTACTGCTGTCACATTTTGTCACAAATGCTGTGTATTACAGAGGAGAATCAAGAGCTTTATTGGAAGGCATATATATATACACATAAGACACATGTAGATAGAGATAGAGATAGACATAGAGATAGAGATCAAGGCATATATATATACACATAAGACACATGGAGATAGAGATAGAGATAGAGATATATGCACGTTTATGATATAGGTTGTGCTCTAAGTGTTGCAATTTGAAAGTAATTTCTGCCAGAAATAGTAAAAATATTAGATAAGTACTTGGGGCGCATATTTAAATTTGACAAGCAACATATTCGTAAGATTTCTGATCTATTTGTGATACCTGGTGAGACAGGTGATCAGTGCTCTTCCTGAAAGATCCTTGAGAGTCAAAGGTGCATCTGGACAGAACCTAGTCAAAAAAGAAAGTTAACGTCAATTTTCAATTAATGAAAATGTTACAGTTGGCTCAAATTGTGTTTTCCCATCAAAAATTAATAGAAATAACTCGGGAAAGTGATGCATAGCCACTTCCAATGGCCATTTACTTACTGGAAGGAATTAAGAGAGCTTTCCTACACCTCGTGTAATCTGCTGATACCTGAGAAAACCTCATGATGTTCTGATTTTAATTTCAGATTGGTTTTGGGGTTGGGTTTGGTTTTTTTTTTTAGTCTGATCCCAACTACATCATTCCTTAGTTTTAACAGGCTTTGGCTCATGAAGTTTTTGTTCAGGTTAAAAGCCTGTACAGAGGGAGAACTGGGTACCCGCTCTGTTCAGAATCTGAGCTTGGTGCCCCCTGTGACAGCAGAACGTGGCTGTGAGTGGGAGCTGTAACCCTGCGCCCTCCTCCCCTTGTCCTCACCACAGTAACGAGCGGCAGTGCCCGCTGACTTGGCAACAGCTTGGGTGTGGTGGTCCTGGTGCTATGTAAACATGTGCTGAGTTCAGCCAGTTCTTTCC